TCCTTCCGAAACCAATTGGTTTTGAAGGTTTTCGGCATACGCGCGCGACGACGCGCGCGTCTGCACTTCTCCCCACCTGTTGCAGAGGATTCTCGCGACGGCACACGCGCAAGGGCGTTCGACAGATTTCGACATGCGCGCGCGCAGCCCGTTTAATAGCATGTTGTGAAAATCTTGAAAAAACAAACCTATGGTTTTCTTTAGATTTCGCAAGAGCTCGCGCGGAAGCTTTTTTTAGCAAATCAGTGTTGCGAAACCCTATGCTTTTGTATGCTTTTTGGAAATTCGATTGCGAAATCCTTCCGGCACCGAAGGTTTTTGAAGGATTTTGGCATGCCCGCGTGACGACGCGCGCGTGTGCACTTCGTCCTTTTTTTGCCAGGGATTCGTGGCAAAGTGTTATGTTAGAACAACAAATGTCACCGCATAGTGATCTTTAAAAGGGGAACCTCGGGGGGGGGATGCCGGCCCCCCTGGGATAGTGTAAATTCATATATAGGATGGACATGTGGTCAGAATCATATATGATTTACATACCCGAAAGGTGAACCGATAACGCCGGGGGGGGGGGTAGATCCTATTCTGTTTTTAGAAAGGGGAATTAATATAAAAAAGGATAATGAATTTGCCGAGCTCGAAGTTGTCCACTCCACTGCTCGCGCGATCATCCCACCCACCCACCCGCAACTTGTTTTGCAAAACCCATGCGGGAGCGATAGCGATGAGTGCTAGGTGTTGGCTGGTGCATCTGTGCGGCCGCGCTAGCCCGCGCACGCTCGCGCGCGCAGCGGCCAGCTAGATTGGCGCGACGGTTCGCGAACGCGGTGGCGCTGACCACTCGGCACATACATCCCAGCGGGCACTTCAGTGCGAGTCGGCGGCTTGGGCGGGCGCGGTATCAGGGCAACGTCGACAACGGCAGACACGATGATGATAGTAGCGCTGCTGGGGACGATGCTGACAGCGACGACGGGCAGCCAGTGACGGCGCCGATGCTGACCACGCCGACGATGACGGCGTCTTCGCGTCGGTGATGAAGGATTGGGAAGGAGTTTGAAATGCGCGCGCGGCAGACGCGCGAGAGCGGCCCGCATGGTATTATTCGACACGGATCGTGCCACCCCAGCACGCGCGCAAGGGCGCCCGAACGATTTCGACAAGCGCGCGCGAAGCCCACTGGGTCGCACTTTCTGAAAATATTGACCGCGTGTGTTTTTCTTAAGAATTCGCAAGAGCGCGCACGTTTTATTTGGAAGCCCGTGTTGCGGAACCCTGTGCTTTTTACTTGTTTTTTGGAGCTTCGATTTTATAACTTATTCCGAAACCAACGGTTTTTGAAGGATTTCGGCATGTGCGCGCGACGACGCGCGCGTGCGCACGTCGTCCCATTTTTTCAAGGGTTTCTGGGAAACTTGCGGTATTTGATGAACGAGTGCGCGCGCATTTTTTTCGCAAAGGATGGCGGGGGGGGGGGGTACCGGTTTTTATTGTGATAATATGAATTCACTGCTCGTATGGACGATCGGGCAGAATCATATGTAAATTGCAATACGGCAAAGTGAATATTTACCCTGGGGGGGAGGGTGGTTGAATTTTTTTGTTGGTACAAAAAGAAAGGATATTCCATTTTCCGTACTCGAAGTTGTTCATTTCGCTGCTTGCGCGATCATCCCACCCACCCACCCGCAACTTGTTTTGCAAAACCCATGCGGGAGCGATTGCGATGAGTGCTAAAAGCTGGCTGGTGCATCTCTGCGGCCGCACTAGCCCGCGCATGCTCGTGCGCGCAGCGGTCAGCTCGATTGGCGCGACGGTTCGCGAACGCGGTGGCGCTGACCGCTCGGCACATACATCCCAGCGGGCACTTCAATGCGAGTCGGCGGCTTGGGCGGGCGCAGTATCAGAGCAACGTCGACAACGGCAGGCACGATGATGATAGTAGCGCTGCTGGGGACGATGCTGACAGCGACGGCGGGGCAGCCAGTGACGGCGCCGATGCTGGCCACGCCGACGACGATGACGGCGTCTTCGCGTCGGCGATGGAGATTTTGGAAGGAATTTGGAATGCGCGCGGTGCAGACGCGCGAGAGCGGCTCGCATGGTATTATTCGACACGGATCGTGCCACCCCAGCACGAACGCAAGGGTGTTCGAACGATTTCGACAAGCGGGCGCGCGAAGACCGTTTAGCAGTATTGTCTGAACATGTTGGACAAGTTATGGTGTTCATACGATTTCGCAACAGCGCGCGCACGTTTTTGCTGAAAACCCGTATTGCGAAACCCTGTTCTTTTGTGTTTTAAAACATGTTGTTTGGACATTCGATTTTGAACCCCCTCCGAAACCGAAGGTTTTTGAAGGATTTCGGCAAGCGCGCGACGACGCGCGCGTGCGCACTTCGCCCCATGTTTTAGCAAGGGATTCTTGAACATATCTGATTATTGCACCGAGGGGGTACCGAGATTGGGTTTGGGTGGGACAGTATGAATTCACAGGCAGCATGGACATTGGGTCAGAATCATATGTTCTGCATCGGCCCTCGGGGAAATCGATAAGTCCGGGGGGGGGGGGTAAAACTTATTTCCTTTTTAGAAAGGAGACTCCATGTGATGCAATCTATGTGGTGCAAGTATACGAGGCCGCGACGAGACGGCGACGGGGCGGCGACGGCGACAACATAGCCGCCAGACCGCCACACCGGCCCATTCGACGGGCGCGACGAGGCGGCGACTGGGCGGCGACGGCGGTTACATAGCCGCCAGACCGACACTCAGGCCCAGACGATGGGCGGCGACGGGTCGGCGACAGCGGCTGCATAGCCGCCAGACCGACACTCCAGCCCAGCTCGTTAGAATCCATTAGAGAAACCCTTAAGTGCAAACACTGTTTGAACTCAAACAAGCAAAAAAAAACTAGCTTCCCATGCCTGCAGACATCTTGCAGACTTTCTGCCCACGCGCACTTGCCGAAGGCATGCGATAAACACTTGCTGTTTGCAGTCTCGTACCGAACCCACATTCTCGCCTCACCCCTCGGTGCGTCCGCGTTGATCTAGCACGCGCCCAGCGCATTCATCCGTAGCAAATCGCACCACGCGGGCCACGCGCGCGCCGCCACGCGCGCGCGTGCCGAAGTCCGTCCAGCACCGTTGGCTCTCGCATCTCAAGATGCACGCTTTCGAGCACATGATCAAAAGCATGCTAATCAACACAAGTCTGTCAGATGACTTGCATGTGTGCACGCGGGCACATCCCCACAATCACCCTCATCGGCGCCATCGCACTACTGCTGTTATCATCATCACCAATCGCCGCCGCGGTCGCCGTCATCAGTCAATTACCTGCACCACCGTCACACAGACAGCATCATCGCCATCGTCGTCACCAGCATCGGCGCCCTGAATTGGCCTTCCGCCGTCATCGCCGTCATCGCCATTACCATCGATACAATCATCACATGTAGCGCCATTGCCGGCGTCATCACGATAACGTGCCAACCCGAGCCATCGACCTGCACTTAGGTGCCTGCGAGCCAGGGCGGACCTTGAGTCGCGCAGGGGGGCTCTCATCAGTAAGCGCCTTTGCGGCCGCACCAGCTGTGCCAAACCAGTTGGCCGCTCTGCGCGCGAGCTTGCGCGCGCCAGCGCGGCCGCAGAGATGCGCGGACCAGCGCCAAGCAGTCAGCGCAATGGCGGCCGCATTAGTTTTGCAAAACATGTTGCGGGGGGAAGGGTGGGATGGTTGCGCGAGCAGTGGATTTGACAATTCATTTTGGTTTTAGCCAGTTTCCCCTTTTGGAGGTAAATATAGATCCCCTCTCCCCCCCACCCGGGGGCTAAAGCGCACTTGCTGAGATCATTCGAAGTCCATTGGTTTTAGCAGTATCATCCAGAACCCACATTCTCATTTCACCACGCGGTGCATGCGTGTTGACCTAGCATGCGCTGAGTGCGCGGGTCTGCATCAAATGATGCCATGCGGGCCACCCGCGTCCTCCGCCACTCGCGCGTGTCGAAACCCGTCCAAAGCCACTTGGTTTCGACGCGTTTCAAGGTACAGCTCTTCAACACACACCAGCAACCAGATGCGTGTCATCGGAATGCATGCCATGTGTCTTGCATGTCCGCGCGCGCGCAGTTCCTCACCATTACCCTCAGCTGCGCCACCGATCACCGCCGTTATCGTCATTGTCAATCGCCGCCGCTGTCGCCGTCGTCAGTCAATCACCTTCACCACCGCCACACATCATCATCGGTACCGTCGTCACGAGCATAGGCGCCATCACTCGCCTTGTCGCCGTCATCGCCACCACCAGCGCTACTATTATCTTTGTTGTTTCCGTTGTCGACGCCATCATAATATCGCGCCCGCTCGAGCCACCGACCCGCATTGAACTGCCCGTTCGCCAGCGCGGCCTTTGAAACGCGCCGGGAAGTTCCCACTGGCAAGCGCCATGGCGGCCGCATGTGCTAAACCAGTTGGTCGCCCTGCGCGCGTGCGTGCGCGCGCGCCAGCGCGGCCTCATAAATGCGCTCGCAAGTGCCGATCAGCAATTGCAATCATGGCCGAATGGCTATTTCCAAACAAAATGCAGGTGGGAGAATGAAGTTTGCGCTAGCGGTGGAGCTGGCGGCTTCAAGTTTCCCGAGGTGAATTGCGCCACGTAAGTTGCACCGCATATGCTGCACATCGAGAGCGCAAGAGCTTGTGAACATTCTTGGTACGAGTGGAAAAATCGTGGTTGGCCTACTTGCTGACCAGGTTGGTCGACCCCTGCTTAACTTTCAACATAAGTGTTTGGTGCGCGAGCGGTGTCCCGAGGGAAGCCGAGCCCGACGTGTCCCGAGATGCGAAGCAACTCCTGCCTAGGATAATGTGCAGTGCGCGTTCCGGGGTGAAACGCTCAGGTTGGACCCGTCCGTGGCTGGGCTTGGCTGTCCTCGTCCTCTGGGCTGCCCCTCTATCGGCGCCACCGAATCTCGCATAAGGATCCCCCTGCAAGGTGGCGATGGACGATGGCAGCGGCAAGATGTTCAGGGAAGCCAACTTAACCTTGTGCGGCTCGCCAGTAAGTTTCGATCCGGACACCACAAGGGAACGGGACATCCGCACATCGCCGGCGACGTCGACGGATCGCCAGGCCCTGGTGCCAGGGACACGCGTGGTGATCTCAGGCATCAAAGCGCAGCCCCACTTGAACGGCTCGCAGGGTGTTATAGTCGAGTGGGACGAGGTTGAGGCGCGCTGGAAGGTGGCGATGGATGACGGCAGCGGCAAAATGTTCAGACCAGCCAACCTGTCTGCGTGTGATTCCGAGCAGCCGACGTTCCAACCTGGCTCCGGGAACCCTCAGGGCGTCGACACGGAAGATGCCGTGCAGATTTTCTCGGCGCCTGGCGCTGGCCTGGAGATCGCGCCGGGAGCGCGAGTGGTGATCTCGGGCATCAGGGCGCAGCCGCACCTGAATGGCAAGCACGGCACCGTGGTGGACTGGGACGGTGCAGAGGGGCGCTGGAAGGTGGTGATGGACGACGGCAGCGGCAAGATGTTCAAGCCCACCAACTTGATCGCCTGTAGTTTTCAGCCTCCCGCGACGGGGCTCGACATCGAAAACCCTCAGGCTGTGGAGCATGAGGTCTTGCCTGCCGAGCCTCCTGGAGCCACCGAGGCGATTGTGCCCGGGGCGCGGGTGGTGGTGTTGGGCGTCAAGGCGCAGCCGCACCTCAATGGTCAGCGTGGAAGCGTGGTGGAGTGGGACGGCGCGGAGGGGCGGTGGAAGGTGCTGATGGACGACGGGAGCGGCAAGATGCTCAGGCCCGCCAACGTGTCACTGTCAGGCTCCCCGCCGCCAGCGCCCGCGCCAGACCCCGAGAACCCGCAGGCGGTCGAGCGCGAGCAGCCCTGCTCGGCGTCGCAGGCGGCCCAGGACCCGGGGGCGATTCTTCCGGGAGCGCGCGTGGTGATCTCGGGCGTCCGGGCGCAGCCTCACCTCAACGGCCAGTGCGGCACCGTGGTGGAGTGGAGCAGCGCGGAGGGGCGCTGGAAGGTGGACCGGCCGACAAAACGTCGCATGCAGCGTGGGGACGTCGCGATATTGACGGTCGGGGTTCTTGTCTTCGCGTGTCGTTCCGCTGGTTCTGGCCCACCACGCCTCGGCGCGGCGCGCCAGCCACACGCCCCGATCCCCGAGCACGAACGTTCCGAGCTTTTCCCAGACTCCCGCCCCGCGGAGCGGGGTGACACGCTATCAGTTTGCACGGCCTAGCCTGCCGCCAGGGCCGCCGCCGCGACACGCTAAGCAGCAGTTCCCGACCGTGCTCAGCTGCCTGCGGCAATCCCCGCCAGCATGCCATTGCAGTAGCGCAGCAAGTAGGAGGTTGAGGCTCAGACCCGCTTCAGTCCTGTGCCTTCTCTGAGCTGGCATGGGTCTTGAGCATCCCCGTCTTGTCCGCAGCCTAGTTCTCCTCTTACCTCCTCCTCCTCCTCCTCCTCCTCCTCCTCCTCCTCCTCCTCCTCCTCCTCCTTCCTCTGTTGCCTTATCCTGTCCCTCCTCTTTTTGGGAGGCGTCTTGGATCTGCAATTCGGGGGGGCCTTTCAGGCCTCAGGGTGGCCCGTTGGAGGCCTCTTGGGGGGGGGCCTCCCGCGGATCCGCGGGTGGCCCGCGAGGGCTCTCAGGGGCCGTCTCGGGGCGCGGTCGTCCCTGCAGGGCCCTCCCGGAATGGCTCCTCGCTTGAGTCATCTTCGGGACGTCTGGGTGGATGAAGGGGCCCCAGGACACACAAATAAATACACACAAATAAAGCGTTCCCCCATATTTTCCTGTATTTTCTGGGTTTCTGTCTTCCCCCCCACTTCCCATAGTTTCCCATATTTCCTGGGAATCGGCGATTAATTGTGTCTGTGTGTTTCTTTCCCTCCTGAGTGGAGCACTCCTGGGCCTTCGTGGAGGGTTGTCATGCAGTCATGGGGCTGTCTTGGGGTGCATTCCGGCCGTCCTGGGGCCGTCTTGGAATTTTCATCGAGACGATGCGAGACCGACAAAAACATTGGAAGCCACATGCTTTGTGTGTTGTTCGCAATTGTTGTGTGATCGTTCGCCATTTAGGGCCTTGCTGAAGGTCAGCATGGCAGCAATTGTAAGCTTATTGGGACATCTTAGGGGCAATTCGATTGGAAAGATGTTGGAGTATCTGGGGGCTCTCTGGACCGGCTTCGGATGGTCTTGGGGCATCTCGCAGCCGCCTCGGCGCGATGTTGGGCAGTGCGGATCAGCTCATAAGCTGGAAAAGTGCTGGATCGCAAAACTAGGGGTGGCGGTGCTCTCGACCCACGCGCGTCGAAGGGGAGTGGCGGCCCTGGAGAATTGCAGAAACCTTACCAGACAACTTACGAGCATCCTGGTACGTCCCAGAGTCCTGAAGCCAGTGTTGCGGAGAAATGGCATCCCAAAGGGGGCGCAATCTTGTGGACCGGCGTAACAGAGGTGGCAGGCAGGGGAGGCGATGATGGGGGATCACTCAGGCACCCAGAACTCATCGCATTACCGACGTCAGAGGCTGTCCCAGGCATCGGCGATCGGCGATTGGCTTCTGGATGGAATCACTGCACCCGCCGCGAGAAGGTGTGTCGTCCCGCTGCGCTGGGGAAGGAGGAGGATGAAGAGAGGGAGGAAGATGGACGAGGGCGGGGAGACAGAGGAGGCAGACGAGGCGGGACCCTGCCACAGGGGCGTCATGCCGAATTGAATTCCAGAGAGCGGGCTCTCTGGCCTCTGCTCTCGCGAAGCTCTAGCCTCCAAAACCAAGGACCCCAACGAGAGGGCTTGGGCCAGCGTGAGCCAGGAGGCAGAGGAGGAGGAGGAGGAGGAGGAGGGAGGAGGGAGGAAGAGGAGGAGGAGGATGAGGAGGAGGAGGAGTGGAGGAGGAGGAGGTGGGGGTGGAGGAGGATAAGGAGGAGGAGGAGGAAGCAAAGGAGGAGGAGGAGGAGGAGGAGGAGGAGGAGGAGGGAGAGGACGAGGAGGAGGAGGAGGAGGAGGAGGAGGAGGAGGAGGAGGAGGTGGTGGAGAGGAGGAGGTTGAGGAGGTGGAAGTGGTGCCATGGCGAGGGCTCTTTGCCGTCAGCTCTGGCGCTGCGACGGTCGCGCAGGGAGGTCAACGGCAGGCGGGGGGCGGCGGCCAGCCGCGCGCTTATGGCCCTGGCCGCGTGCCACCTCCTTGCACGGCTGGCTCTGGTCGGAGGACGCCAAGTCGGTGCCAAGAACGTCCGCACGGAGTGCTCGGCCTAAACTTGGACCGAGGAACAAGATCGAGGTCGGTTCAGGGAGGGTGCCCTAGTGTTCTTCGTGCTTGTCAGACACTCTTGTGCATCGTGGGGGCCCGTGGGGGAGGGCAACCTCGCGGATTATCTTCAATTTGGCCAGCGGAGGGTCTGTTGTTCTTAAAGGATGTTTTTCTGTCCCAGGTCCGCACGGAGTGCTCGGCCTACGTTTGGGCTTGCTCCGTCTGGGCTCAGCCTCTCTTGGCCCAAGCCGTCCGGACCAGGGTCCAGGCACATATGGGGTCGGAGGATCTCTGGCGTTTCGCAATGGGCGGGCGCTATCTAAGCTTTGCATCGCTCGGACGTGTGCATTTCCTTTCGGCGGGGACCATCGAAGAGCATCCTGGATGATTGAGCAAAAACAAAACACGCACCAAACCGACAAATGCTCGGGGAGTGGACGTCCGAGCGATGGCGAGTAGCGGGGATAGGGGGTTGCACCTTTCTTCGCCCACCCGTTGGTTGTCCCCCATTGAGCAGCGCCCAAGGATCGCGCTGCATCGCCGACACACTGGCGATGCGAGGAGGTCTAGCAAGCCAGATCTTTTCCACTAGGATTGTCGCCGATGCATCGTGGATGTGTCAGAAGTGCGGTGTGATCTTCCGACCCCATCCGCTGGGACCCAGTTTGGGGAGGAGGAGGAGGGAGGAGGAGGAGGAGGAGGAGGAGGAGGAGGAGGAGGAGGAGGAGGAGGAGGAGGAGGAGGAGGAGG